TTATTTTTCAAAGGCACCTCCGATATTCACAAAGGGTGTTCAAACATTTAAGCAGCTGGCATCATCACCGCAATTTGACATTTTGTATTTGACATTGCTTCTTTGCTTTCTAATGTGTATGGATACCAATGAAGTAATCCATATAAGTAAGTCAATGAAGTAAGTAATATATTCAGATGTTGCACTATCCGAGACATGATGCGTACATCTTTTCTTAGATATGATTGTTATCGTTCTGAATAACATCATACAGTGACTTGTCCTCCCTGGTGAATTCATTCAATGTTGTATAGTCTTGAACATTCACATCGGAAGTGGGCGCATGAGTAGACATCTGTCCAGTGTTGGGCGTGTCCGTCCTTCTTAACTCTTGAGGGTCTGTGGTAGTTGTGGGAATCCATTTCAGTCTTAAACAAAGAATTTTTACACTGGTAGAAGTATTATACATGCACATATAGGTGCTTGTGTTAAGAAGCAAACAAACAGTAAAGACACAATGTCAATAATCTGTTATATAACATCATACAAAGCTAAGCAATGAAGGAGTTACCTTCCAGACTTCAACAGCCATATCATCAGCCCACCAATCAGCAACATTACACCAATTCCTACTGCTCCCACAATGACACCGGTTGTAACAGGAGATACTGGATTAGATACAAAGTCACTTTAGTCCGGTTTTTAACATTTTTTGTGAATAAATATATAATCAGCATATGACAACGTAAACAATAGCATAGAATATATAACGTGTGTTTGATGATAGATGTTCAGAGATCAAACGTCATCAATACATGGTGACATGGCTATAATTGATCTTTTCTTATTCGTAACCTCATATTTTGGGGGAAAAACGACTAAAAAGTATTCAAACCCCTGACATCCACATCACATCTGTCACCAGTGAAGCCGTCCAGACATTCTCCTGGACAGCGTCCATCTCCATCATCACACGTGACGTCACAGTGTCCACAACGAGAACAATCACGCCCATAGGTTCCAGGCTTGCATTCTGAAGGTAGTCAGTTAGGTATTCGGTTATGAGGTGAGGTGAGGTGAAATGGGGTTCAACGTCGCATCCAAGATTATTGCACTTGTATAGCAACGTGCATGTACTTGTGTGTGTTTGTGTGGCTGCTTGTACTAGTCCGGACTGATGCCGATATATAGTGCTAGCTCACTGAGATACCATGCCGCAGTTGAACATGAAAACCCCACTCAGACACAGTATACTGACTCCGAGCCGCCCAGTCCTTGTTTTAGCCCCTGAATGCCGAGCGTCAGACAGGGTAACAACAAGTACCATCTTTAAACGTCTTTTGGTATAACGCGGTCGGGGATCGAACCCCGGACCTTCCGCTCTCCGGGCGGACGCTCTACCACTTGACCACGGAGGCCGTCTTATTCAGTTATGAAATGATATGAATAAGAAACAAGTTGACATAATCTAGTTTCGATATAACGCATTTTCGTTTGTAGGTTTTTAAATGGTTGATATACAGTAATAGTCATTGAATATTCTGTATAACAGAAACTAAATAACTAAATATAACATATTTCCCATTGGTAATTGTACATGTTTGATTGAAATGGGGTTTAACGTCGCAACCAAGATTATTGCACTTATATAGCGACGTGCATGTACGTGTGTGTGTTTGTGTGGCTGCTTGTACTAGTCCGGACTGATGCCGATATATAGTGCTAGCTCACTGAGATACCATGCCGCAGTTGAACATGAAAACCCCACTCAGACACAGTATACTGACTCCGAGCCGACCAGTCCTTGTTTTAGCCCCTTAATGCCGAGCGTCAGACAGGGTAACAACAAGTACCATTTTTAAACGTCTTTTGGTATAACGCGGTCGGGGATCGAGCCCCGGACCTTCCGCTCTCCGGGCGGACGCTCTACCACTTGACCACGGAGGCGGTCTTATTCAGTTATGAAATGATATGAATAAGAAACAAGTTGACATAATCTAGTTTCGATAAAACGCATTTTCGTTTGTAGGTTTTTAAATGGTTGATATACAGTAATAGTCATTGAATATTCTGTATAACAGAAACTAAATAACTAAATATAACATATTTCCCATTGGTAATTGTACATGTTTGATTTCATTGAAAGATGGGTCAAATGATATACTCTAATCATTACAATATACATATATATATAACCTACACATATAGTAGCATATATATGTCAATTTAATTGAAAAAAACTAGTTAAGAGCAACTTTGATTCAAGATTTCCTTACATTTTTGTAAACAAAAGACTGGCATATTTATCATATATTGTTATCTGACAACGGAAAATTAAGAGAAAAGTACCACAAAAGGGTCCGTGAAAAACGGGTAGAATGAAGGACTTCGGGATTACTATTTTCCTCGTTAGGGGCCATTTGACCACGACAGAATATGTTCTAATGTGTTTACCAATTAGAAACATATATTACTAAGTTGTTATTCCCACCACCATTAACAATGTACCGAGCTTGGTCTCTGTTTTTGAAATATATATTTGCTAAGGTTTACACGAAAAACTATTTCGAGGCTGAAACGTCCTTTCAGAGAAACATGAAGTAAGAGAAAACTGATATGATATGCCAGCATAAATTTTGCATGATAAATTTAAAGTGTAAGAAAAACTTACAACTTTATGGATAACAACTATAACAACTGCATATAGCGACGTTTTAATGTAGATTCTTACACCGTCATCAAGCTGGAGTAACTCACTCTGGCTTAATCACGGTTGAGTGATGTTTGGAGCCTTTTAAAGTTAATGGCTTCTTCCTTTCTGCTTTTGAAATCTTCGAGGTTGCTTCGATTTTGTCCCACTGGATGCTGAACTCCAAGCATCAAGCAACCTTGATCTAGGCTATTATTACATACCCCCTGTATATTTAACCAAGTAACATCACAGGGCTCATTGACAAAAACAATATAATTAGTCTACAATTTTTATTAAGCTTCCATGTCATTATTATTCTATTCCAAACAGCAAGTATAATGTTGCAGTGTTTTGTAGTTTCTTGTTTAACGCCACACTAAGCACTATTCCACCTTTACCAGAAAATCCAGTGATTGACAGCATAAACAACAACGTCTTACGCAGTCGGGGTGCGATGACAAGAAAACAGCTAAGTCACCTCTTACTACTTGCATAGCCTGCTGGGGACCTTTTCTAACCAGGATTCCTCACTAGTAGAAGTGATGACGTCAGGTGTGCCGGGAACAACGTAACATATCCTACCAGCACCACCCGTCCCGAGTGAAGGCCAAAAATCAAGATAAAACATCTGGCCACCGTTGGATATGCTTTTTTTCTCAAACATTTCAGAATTTACTTTATCCTAGAGATTTATTATTGTTTTAGTGGACCATATTCAAGGTTGCGTGGATACCTGCAGTGCATAAGTGTCGTTTGAACCCATATTCAAGCAACATACTTAACTATTTGTCTGTTCCTCAGGGTGCGACTGACAAGTTCGTTTGAGAGACTACTTACACGATGACTTCCAAAATTAATTGATTCCTGAGTGTCATTTTGATCATATGCAATAGGGTATTATTTATTACTAAAAAGTAAGCGTTTCATGTCCAAGCGCTGGCACGCGTCACGCAAAGACAAGTCAATTGTTCAACTGAAAGAACACCGAAACATATGGAAGCCTGCAACCTCGGGGTATCGCTGCACTTGTCATGTACGCTAAACGGAACAAAATGCACTCTCTAACCTTTATGATTATATCAGATATTATATCAGATGTCATTGATGTTATCTGACAATGCATATTTTACTGATAGTGAGTGAGTGAGTTTGGTTTAACGCCGTTTTTAACAGTATTTCAGTTATATCGCGGCGCATCAGCTTAATGTGGGAGGAAAGCCCGAAGTGATGCAGGTCTCAGACGTTTACCACTTCGGTGAAACCTACGAGCACGGATATGGTACTGACAAACCTAGAAACATAATCGGGGCGAACCGGGATTCGAACCCACAATCATAGGTTTCTGGCGTGCCGAAGGGACGAAACTCTGCACAGCGAATCGCGGCACCTTAGACAACTGGAACACCCGTGCCCCTATTTTACTGATAAAAGTTCATTCTTTACATTAGGAGCTCCGAGTAAAAGCTGGGCCTCGCGTTCAGTTTGGGAAGGGAGAGAACTCCATCGTATTGCGGTATGGAGAAAGGTTGTGTATGTAGGTCCGAATTGAACAAAAAGAGGCCACAATTATACCAACCACTTAGTATGATCATGCAAGACTTAAGTGATTTGTCCAGACAAGTGCAAAGACAGCACAAGAGAAATTCTAAATGTGTTCTCAGTAATAGGTTTTCAATGCATATTTACCGGAAAGTAAGAGAAAAATATTTAAAAAATCAAAAACAAAATATCAGAAATGATATACTAAGATTTATTTTTTTTAAATTGGGTAACAAAATGGAAAAATGTTAAAAGTCAACAATTCATATATAAAATAGCCATCCTAGTATGCCCAAAGTATGTATTTATCTTTTGGCTACTAGTGAAAAACTACGTTTGGCATTATGGCCCTTATTAGTCCCAATGAATATGCAGATGATCTAGTTCATGTCGATAGAGAAAGTTTACTTGGGGAACTGCGGGTTACATCGTTGGTCATTGATAGATGGGGGTAAGGCAATATTAAAATAGATGCCAGAAGTAAGTATCAACGCATTAATAACCCCTTACTTACAGCAGACGGATCATTCCGAGGAAATAGAAACTGTTACGAAGTGAGCACTTTCTGGTTACTGATTTGCATTAATAGATAGCTGCTGAGAGGCGTGTCCACGTGAACTTCCGGAAATCACAAATTCCGCAATACGATGAATGCCGCAGTACCACGGGGTCCGAGTATACATGTCAAATTGGGGAACATTCTACATCCTACATCATATTGTTGTGTTGACCTAACTAAAAATAGGGGGGGTCATACAAGCAACAGGCACGATGATGTTCTGTAACTTACTTCCGGAGCAGTCTATTTCTGTCCATCCATCTTCACACCCATCAGGACACTGTCCTGTCACTCTGTCACATGTAGAGGAGGGTGTCTTACAGTGTCGGGAACTGCAGTTACTGGCACAGTTAGGGCCGTACACCACACTAGTACACGCTGAATGAGATATAGGTGAAACTGGTGTAAGTTTAAAAGTAATTCAAAGAGAGTTCTCATAGCTGCAGATATAATTGAAATTATAACATCTGTAATATACTTTAACAAACTGCCATTCATTTTGGAACATAAACATTACTCAGCTTTCAATTAATTGATATCATAAAGCTGGCGTGAAATACAAAGTATATGGAAACATATTTTTAGTACCAAACACAATTTAGGTCAATGGAATGGTTTATGGGTTCCACTTTTGTTACAACTCGTCTCAAATTGCTGAGTTTGGGCGATGCTGCTCTGTAAAATGATTTCTTGGATCAAACGTTAACTGCATAAGAAGCATGATACCTGTTCACATAGGGATATGAAAAGGCGACCATGCAACAAAAAGGTCATCAGTCAACTTATGTTGTGAGAGAAAATTCACATCTGACTTTTCAGCAGGTGTGAATAGTTTCACAATCTGTAGGGAAGTAGACATATTTATATCTTGAATTTTAATGGTGATGCCACCATAATGACAAACTACTTCTAATAAGTGTATGCAATGTTAACACTGAGTTGAATCAACTAATCATATTGTGCATTTTGATTTATTTGTATAAATTCAATTCAATCACTGTTCAATCAGTTCTTATGTTGAACCAATCACAAATACAAATATGTTATATTAACAAAACAATTAATATTGTTTATTGTATTATTATGGTGCAGGGTGACTTACTTCTGGAGCAGTCTATTTCTGTCCACCCATCTTCACACCCATCACAAGAAAAAATACCCATATATACAAAATATACAATTTTGTATATTTGATATTTCCAAAATATACAATTTTGTATAGTTGGTATTTCCAAAATATACAATTTTGTATATATGGTTAGATTTTACCACTGCTTCATTCAATTTCCTCACCTCTTATAGAATGTTTCACATAATATGTGGTTGCAAAGTTTACTTATGATACCGAACAGTATAATTATTGCATGTGACAATAATGCTTTAATACTATTTTCATTATGACAACTATATGATGTTATGAAATAATTTGTATTTCGTTATGTTTTACAGATCTTAATAACAGTTTGATCAATATAAAATGCGTACGCCAGCAACAAGTAGTTGAAAGTAGTTTTAAACATTGATGTTTATCGTTCCAAAGCTCTGTTCTCCAGCTCAGTTCATCTTTGTTTACGAGAACGTTTTTAATATGGGCAATTTTCTTCTTTCGGGACATTGGAGCAGTCATAATATTCATAACATCATAAATATTAAGATTACAGGCAATTTTAACAACTTTAGTACTCCATGAACTTTTACATAGTAACCATTTTCTTCATCAAAGCGTTACAAGTACTGTTATTAAATCTTGGGGTAGTCTAAAAACATTAGCATGTAATGTAACAAACGGGGAGGAGAGACCCATGTCTCCATTAGTGGCTATACATGGAGGTACCGTTACTAACACCAAGAAATAATTTACCGGCTCTATTTTGGATTAGATTAACGTTTTATCCTCATATACCAGAGCCATAGAACATTACCGGCTCAACAAGACTTTCATACAGTTTCATAAAAAACATCATAAGACATACACCCAACAGAATAAGACAAAGCATGGCTGGCAGAATTGTACAACTCTTTCACAGTTTCACATATCTAGATGCTCGTCAACCCGTAGTCCCAGATAACGATATGATTCTACATAGACCAGTGTTTGCCCAGCGTAGAGGAATCTGGTTAATCTGTATCACTTAACGAGTGGTGAATAGCTTACTCTGCCCACAGTCGAGAGCAGCACAGTAATTAGTAGTTTAGACCAGGCGAATACACTGGTCACACTTGACTGGTCTGTCTGATGATTCGGTCACCTGCCAAATGGGATGTCTGACAATTGGGTGTGAACCTTACAGAGGAAGTTATTTTATGAATGCGTCACGTGTTTCAAAAGAGATGACCATTATCTAAGTAAAATACTTCTAAGATCATAAAGGACATAACATTTAATGAAGTGAAATTCATTTTCGACAAACTTTTATGAACAATTTTAAAACAGTGTGGGCAGATTCTATTTTCTAAAAGGTTTGGGGGGTTGTAAATCGTCCTGTTTCGATCCAGATCTAAAACTAGCTAAAATGCGACGGTGGTCCCTGTATTTAAAACATAAGGAGCAACAACGTTACGATCATGAAAGTTTCTTAATGTATTGCCCTTAACGTTATGTTTATCGTTCCAAAGCTCTGTTCTCCAGCTCAGTTCATCTTTGTTTACGAGAACGTTTTTAATATGGGCAATTTTCTTCTTTCGGGACATTGGAGCAGTCATAATATTCATAACATCATAAATATTAAGTTTACAGGCAATTTTAACAACTCCATGAACTTTTACATAGTAACCATTTTCTTCATCAAAGCGTTACAAGTACTGTTATTAAATCTTGGGGTAGTCTAAAAACATTAGCATGTAATGTAACAAACGGGGAGGAGAGACCCATGTCTCCATTAGTGGCTATACTGGAGGTACCGTTTCTAACACCAAGAAATAATTTACCGGCTCTATTGTGGATTAGATTAATGTTTTATCCTCATATACCAGAGCCATAGATCATTACCGGCTCAACAAGACTTTCATACAGTTTCATAAAAAACATCATAAGACATACACCCAACAGAATAAGACAAAGCATGGCTGGCAGAATTGTACAACTCTTTCACAGTTTCACATATCTAGATGCTCGTCAACCCGTAGTCCCAGATGACGATATGATTCTACATAGACCAGTGTTTGCCCAGCGTAGAGGAATCTGTTTAATCTGGTTAATCTGACTGTTGGAATATTATCTATGCATTATCCTGTCTAAAAATCTAGATATATTTACAATATCATGTATGCAATTTTGAATCATTGTAATCCGGAGTGGTCTTCATATAAACTTCTTGACCAATCCGCTTCATGTACATTTTCAGAAAAACATAACATAACATGGGAATACCGTTCGAATTGAGCCTCGCTCAATTTCCCTGTGCGCTGTGATTTTTTATTTATTTTTTTTAAATGAAAATTTTACAGGGACTAGCTGTGCTACAACACATGTTAAACCATTTTTACAGTTTTGTCTAATTTTAGCGATAATGAAAACTGAGTAGAGATAAGATATATTGATGAACAACGTCTTTATTACAGTTAGGAGCGACGCTTAGGTGTATGTTGTAACACCATTATCAAGCAAGTGATGTTGTTCATCCACAGATCTTATCCTCTCTCAATACTCCAACTTCTAAATTCCTCGCAAAGAAGATAATGATACTTGTTTTGAATCTTGCCATCGTACAAAATATTCTTCGCACAGTATTCAAGAAACAATGTAATATTAATATCATACCACGCCATCAATATATGTTGTGCAATATTTGAGAGGTTGGCGCCTGTCGGGACGGTGTGAGATGCTAAAACTGTTCTTGTATAGTCTAGTATCCTTTGGCTAGTGACAGCTACCACTGTTTATTCCCATTCAAGTTGCTAACGGTGTTTCATCTAAACAGTATTATGGGAACGGAAATTAAAACATTACTTCATTCGTTATGCTACCATTTTTGAATATATGTCCATGAGATTAATCTGTTCATTTTTCCGTATTTTTATTACGGAACTTATAGCTTTGTGTGGCACAAACGATCAAATAGTAAGATGACTACAATTAAAGGGCATTAATAACGAGAGGCTGTTCACATATATGTACATCATATATGTATCACGCGAATCATTTCTGATTTTACTCGACGTAAGTGCTAGAAACGTTACCTACTTCCGGCGCAGCGGATCTAGATGTTGGCGCTATCTAGATTGGGTCCCTGACACATGCAGCTCTATTTGATGGGTGTATTGTACTTAATAAGCTGAACTTTTATAAATCTATTTTTTGCAAATATATACTGGTCACTCCAACTAATCATTGTTACTAAAATATATAGGATTGTTGTCTATAACGTGTCCATTCGTATGTCTGTTTTACGTCTGTTCTACTAATTATTGACACTAAGAAACTCGTACAATTTTTTAAATCATTACTAAATGTGTTGTACTTGTCTACATCTGAATTGAAAAGTGGGAGAAAAGTTGCTTACTGTATTTTGCCGCCTTTGATGGTTCTGATGATCAAGATGACAACGTCAAAATCTAAGTGTTCAGGAGTCGATGAGGATTCAGGAGTTTTTGAATTGATGCAGAATCAAGGTTGGGGGTTATTATAGGCCTAATAGTGCACCACGTGATTTATGTCCAGGCCCCCGTGACATGCAGTTGTCATGTGACATGTAATTAACTAATTGAATTGCAAAAACAATTCCGACAGCAAATAACTGCATCCACAACAACAATGCGTGGATGCAAAGAAAGAAACCATTTTAAACCCCTTTCTGTATATTTGTATTTGTATTCCTTTCTGAAACTATCATTCTACAAACAGTTGTGTTCACCGCCCATTGTGATACTTCTACTTAAAAAAATAAAAAAGGATGTTTATTTAGTCATTTGACATGCGTTCATTGTAAACAAGGATTAGTGTGAAAGGATTACTAAGTCATCCAGTATAATGCACTTCCTCGATTAGCATAATTAGAACAGAGTTTGTAATTAGTTATATCCTGACTCCAGTTAACCAAGGCAGCTACATCAGTTGTGATTTATGAATTTGTGGAATCTTAATGAAAATAACGACCGCCTGTCACAAAAATGCAAACGAACATTGAACACGCACAGTTGCAGATTTTCCTTTCGTACATTTGAGGGTGAACGTGAAGGAAGCCGTGCAAGATGCTTTACAGCGATTTGTCTTCAGAACACATATTGAGCTCAGGTAAGTTTATTAATGATGATATTTTCATCCATTCATAGATATGGCGATCATGAGCGCTGACACTATATGTATTCGCAATAGAACATTTGGAAGACTAGACACAAATTGAGTCACAATATGACAACATCAAATCAAAGAATTTGTTTAATGCAACAGATTTAAGGCATTGAAATTGTACATTATTATAAAATACATGAGTGTCGCTACGTCTCATGTCAAATACATCAATGAATTCTTTATAAAAAAAAATAATTTAATATTACTATGAATTTATAGCTAAAATTATGGAGTCTTGCATGTCGAGCCAACAAACTATAGTACATATTATTCACCTTGGAATTTCTGTTTACTGTGCTTGCGGTGGGGTCAACCCTATTCCCAAAATGGACAGTTCCAAATACTACTGCATAAAATATCAATGCCAATTTGGAGAAAATTACCAAATGAATGAATGCAAGTAAAACTTAATCCAGGGAAAAAGAAAACTGTTCAATATCACGTCAAAGTGTGCCCAAGTGCAAAACCTAATCTTAAAATGAAAGGACTTTGGTATTAATATTTCAGTCAGATTATGATATTGGCGAGTTAACGAGGTAAGCCCTATGATTAATTGTCTTAAATACCTTTCTGGTGTCCACCGCCGTGAACCATACTCAATCACTCAGATAAATAACCCCTTTTACATAAGTCATGAACAAGCATATATATATTGCCAATATTTTGCTCCCATGTTTTGGATAATTGTACCAAAGAAAAAGAATTAATCCTAGAATGTCTACACATTAATTCATTACGGACGCTGAAATAATGCCGATGAGACGTTAATTTTTACCTCGCCCACTCACTGATTATGGACTATTTGTGGGCCAATAAGAGGTACAAGCCACATGAAAATGTAGAGTGAGACCAACGTAGCCATTACACCTTTTTACAAGATGGAAAACATCTTTGCTGTAAGTGTTTACATATAAAGAAATCTAACCAATTCACAGGCTATACGTTGTAGAACTGAATGCAAGTCATTCCTACCTGATACCATTAATAATTGGAATAGTCACCGGAAAAAGAGGATTATTAAACTTAGACAATGTTATATTCAGTTAAGCCATGATACCAGATTTTGTCACTTTAAACTTCCATCGGCTTAAAAAACACATCTCAGATAACACATCATGCATGCTCTTGTGGCTGTCACAATGGTACACTGCATTCATTTTTACACATGCCCCAACTACAATATATTTAGAAACGATTCTATTCTAAAGGTTAAGTGAGTTTCTAATCAGTGGTTTATTGGAAACAATTTGAACAGTGCCTAATTTAGCTATTTTGAAATCGGCCATGTACATCCGACGTTCGGGTGGATTTGCACATATATAATAACTAGTAGTAAGACTTAATACATACTTTGAGACACGTATTAAGTATTAAAGAGTTAAATAACTTTTCTTAGGAAACCCCTTTCCATCAACCGCACTGTTGACCTATCTTTTTTGTTCTGTTTTGATGTATTGATGTATTATTTAATACAATATGTATATCTCCCCTCATCCCAATGTTAATAAAAGGAAGCTTGGTGGGGACTTTTGGGATATAAGAAATGAATACAGACTGCCATATTGTCTGAATGTCTTAACAATCACCGGGTGTGACCACGTAGACAGGATATCATTCGGGTTTCTCATAATTACTCCATGAGCATGCTTGGTATTGTAGCTTGGGGATATTAAATGTAAGTTTGTTATCAGAGGAGATTGATAGTGAACTTTTAGTACCAGTTAGATATGATATCTATATGACTTCTTTCTGTTTGACAAAGGATTAAGGGTATATGTGTGGGTAATCCTTCCACGCTGATGAAAGAAAGTCACTCTACTAGTTCATGTAATCTACGTCAAATAAGATCAGAACACATGCATTATTACAACATACTCAGGATACCAATAACAACGAAATGTACAAATTAACAAACATGATCAATATTATTATTACATGTTAATGCCATGTATGTAAATATAGCTATATAAACATATGTTTAATTTTTCAGCTTGTGTGAAGTCGTCCATAAATACAAGAAAACGTATATTTTCCCAAAATTATATTACCGTCAAAAGGGCAATTATATTCATGTTACATTTTTTCAGTCTCTTTTTTAATTCGAATGACGTAACATTTATGTTACTTTGATTTTATTAGACCCATGTTGTTGTTACAGACCCAGGGATTGACTAGGTTCATTACATGTCATAAAAGTGCCGGGACATAATATGGTGGCAATACATTCTCTAATTAACACCTGTCACAAAGGGACGGGCAATTTGGGTTTGTCCTCAGGGAATGTGTTATGCAATTTGTGTATTCACGAAATAACATTCAACAAATTATGTACATGGTCCTGTGATGTAGGATTGATGCATTCGTACTTTTTATAAATAAATGAATTGCATTTTTTTTCTTAACCGTGTGCGAAATACGCATAATGTCGGAAAGCGCAAGTTAAATACTGACTTCATCCCAAAATAAATCACAAACCCTCTCTTATAATTTGTATATTATTCTATATTTTAATTATGTAAATCACGTTCCTGTCACTTTTAAAGTAGAATACGTTAGTCACTCAACCAATTCCATTATTATTTTCCCAAAGATCAAAGATTAAAGCAGTTATCAAGATTTATTTTCCATATCTTTAAAAATACTTAATCTTTACATTGAAACTGCCATCATGATGTATTATTATTATTATTATTTTTACTATTATTATTGATGTACATATGGTTTGCACCCAACCATGCGCGTGCCAAATTATACAGCGTCAAGCTTTTAGACCGCCAACTAAGTTTTCCAAAGTAGAAATTAAGCCAAATGAATATATATCAAGTTTCCTTTTGCTAGAACATATGCATGCTGTTGTGTTTTTTCAAGGTAATCTTCGTTCTCGCATTGATAACAATATTTAAAGAACAAGTATTATAAAATATAATACGGGAATATATTACACACGTTATTTATGCATCCGGTTGCTCATAATACAATTTTCCCCAAGGACTACCGTTTTACAAAACGCGATTTTCCGCATTTCCGCCGAGATTTCACATTATAACAATGTATATCTACAATGAAACCGACAGCTCAGAACAAACCAAATTCAACACTTTCAAGTAGTGATAAAATAGTTTTCATCCTCTGTGCAATCCACTCTGTTGGCATATGTGCACGAGAGCATGTTACAAAACACATCGCGGCCTCCCCGTAAAACAAATCCAAGCTCAAACACTTTCAATACAGAAGTTATCGCCCCCGACAGCTAATCCCCTCTGTGCATTTGACCATAAAGTCTACTCACATACCAAGCACCGCGCCAGGAAAAGTACCAGACGCCTCAACCGCCCACCCGTCAATATCATTGCAAGGACAGTATGTACTCCCGCTAACAGTGTGGAGTACTAATTAAACCTTCCAGTAATGTTACCCGCCACTAAATCAGTTTTTTGTAACTTGCTGATACTATTTTGCACATACAAAACATTTATAGAGCAATCCATAGCAATTATCCTCCTTTACCAACATATACAAAGAAACACAGTGCTCAACTTAAAACACTTCAATTTGCACATATATCATAATTATACACAAATACATAATAATTATCTCCCTTTACCAATATATACAAACAAAACAAATTTGGATACACCATATATACAAATTTGTATATTTTGTATATGTCATATATACAAACTTGTATATTTTGTATATATCATCTTTCCAATCTTGTATATCCTTTGGAAATATCATCTTTCCAAAGGATATACAAGCTTGTATATATGGATTTTTTTTGCAGTGCATCAGGACACTGTCCTGTTACTCTGTCAAATGTACAGGAGGGTGTCTTACAGTGTCGGGAACTGCAGTTGCTGGCACAGTTAGGGCCGTACATCATACTGGTACACGCTGAATAAGGCATAAGTGAAACTGGTGTAAGTTTAAAAGTAATTCAAAGAGAGTTCTCATAGCTGCAGATGTGATTGAAACTATAACATCTGTAATGTAAATTACACCCTTAACAAACTGTCATTCATTTTAGAACATAAACATTACTCAGCTTTCAATTAATTAATATCATAAACTGACGTGCAATACAAAGTGTATGGAAACATGGTTTTAGTACCAAACACAATTTACGTTCATGGAATAATTGATGGGTTCCACTTTTGTTACAACTCGTCTCAAATTGCTCCGTCTTGGCGATGCTGCTCTGTAAAATGATTTCTTGGATCAAACGTTCACTGCATAAGAAGCATGATACCTGGTCACATAGGGATATGAAAAGGCGTCCATGCAACAAAAAGTCATCAGTCAACGTATGTTGTGAGAGAAAATTCACATCTGACTCTTAAGCAGGTGTGAATAGTTTCACAGTCTGTTGGGAAGTAGACATATTTATATCTTAAATTGTAATGCCGATGCCACCATAATGACAAACTACTTCTAATAAGTGTATGCAATGTTAACACTGAGTTGAATCAACTAACTATATTGTGCAATTTAATTTATTTGTATAAATTCAAATTCAATAGCTGTTCAATCAGTCCTTATGTTGAACCTAGCACAAATACGAATATGTTATATTTACTTAACAATTAGTATTGTTTATTATATCATTATGGTACAAGGTGACTTACTTCTGGAGCAGTCTATTTCTGTCCATCCATCTTCACACCCATCAGGACACTTTCCTGTCACTCTGTCACATGTAGAGGAGGGTGTCTTACAGTGTCGGGAACTGCAGTTGCTGGCACAGTTAGGGCCGTACATCATACTGGAACACGCTGAATAAGGCATAAGTGAAACTGGTGTAAGTTTGTAAGTAAAGAGTTCTCATAGCTGCAGATGTGATTGAAATCATAACATCAAGGGGCCATCAAGTTTTGGTGCAGGCTACTGTGTTTGGACCAGCACAGACTGCCTCGCCAATGCTATTTAATGCTCAAATCACTAGACCGTTCCTGTCACACCACATGGGCTACTAACATTAAGAACAGCTTGTTTAAATTAGGTTTTGGACATGTATGGTTAACACAAGTTGTTGGCAATGTGAAGATATTTATTCATCATTTTAAGCAAAGATTATGATCATGATAACCTTCAACAATCATGGTGTAGTTCTATCAATAGTGTAGTTGATACCTTTTATTATAAACATTTTAAATGTAGAAAAATATCTTACACTCCCCATACCAGTACATCTGAGAATATGTATGACTCGTTTCAGATGTAGCAAGTTTAAAAGTCCAAGGGCTAAGAGAACTTAAATCGATTTCTTTATTGGCATGCGTAGTTCATGCAATCAGCCTTTGTCTGAATGATTGGCCCATGGCCTTCTTACTAAATAAACTGTCTGTCTGTCTGTCTCATAGCTGCAGATATAATTTAAATTATAACATATGTAATGTAAATTACATCCTTAAACAAACTGCCAATCATTTTGGAACATAAACATTATCCAGCTTTCGATTAGTCGATATCATAAACTGACGATCAATACAAAGTATATGGAAAGATGTTTTTAGTACCAAACACAATGTACGTTAATGGAATGATTTAGAGGTTCCAATATTGTTCGACGTAACGTAACTTGTTACAGCTCGGCGCAAATTGTTGCGTTTTGGCGATGCTGCACGCGTAAAATGATTTCATTGATCAAACTTTTACTGCATTGAAGCAAGATAATTGTTCTCATATGGATATAAAAAGGCGACCATGGCAAAATAGGTCATCAGTCAACAGTAAAACGCCCAGGAAGGCGACAACATCGCCTGCTTTCTCATCGAGTGAGAGCAATTTGTGTTTTGAACTTGTGGAAAATAATCAACTTTACGACGATCACCAGGTTCATGCGGCGTGACAGGGTTACTGGAAGGACATGAGGCAGGTCATGATCTGGAAGACTCCGTCACAACCATGGAAGACTGCTGTCTCCTCACCTTGCACCACGGTAACAGGTTCCGCAATATAAAATTATCTTATGTGACTGCTCTTTTGCGTACCTGTTGTTTCGTGGTTGTTCAACGCCCCACTCAGCCATACGACAGCCATACGACAGCGGTTTGTAAATAATCAAGTCTTGACCAGACAATCCAGTGACTGACATGGTCATAAGCATCGTTGAACGCCATGGGGACACGATCACGAGGCAACATCGACTTCAGCGTTTGCGTCTGGCACGTAGAGTTCAACTTTGGCAACGTGGGAACTAGCAACGTGCGTTCTTTCTGGATCTGCTGATGTGACTAGATAATCCGGCGGCGTGCCAATCTCTCAATACAAAGAGGTCAGATTATATAGGGACAGAGAAGGGAATGAGGAGCAATTACTGATATCGTCATTAAACGCCTAACAATCCTTGTCCGACGTCGTGTGTACGCATGCATATCTGGACATTGAGGACAAACACGCTACTGAATCATTGATCTGCATTCAGTGACAGATATTATCATGTTTATTCACGCTTCTTCTGGTGTTTTGCAAATTTCTCCCATGGTTATGAACCGCGATGTTGCCATTTGATTAGTGTATATAGCAGTACTTCTATCTCGTCAAATGACTATATTTTCCAAGTTCAATGTTTGAATTTTTTTTTCGATTTTACTATTTCCGAAAACTGATCAGAAAACTTTCATCCATTCTCAGTTTATATCACTAGACTGAGTTAAGTGAAATGTTTAAATCACCACCATAAACTGTTACCAATACAAAACATTCATGAAATGTGTTAAGAAACACATGAAGCAACATGCCTACTTTGGAAACAGTCAGTTCCCATGACACCACTTTCACAGCCATCAGGACACATGCCAGTCACGTGATCACATGTGTCAGATGGTGTCTTACAGCGACGCCTCCCGCAGTACTTGCTACATACTTCTCCATATCTCCCAGGATCACAGGCTGAAAGGGATGATGAGCAATGTGTTTACTTCGCTAATATCGCTACATTCTTCATAATTACAAAGGTATATATTTTAGCATTTCCGAATTTACATTTTTTTTGATAACAGAGCTATTCCGTAAGAGAGGCCAAACATTAATACAAACTTTTCTTCTTTTTGCAAACATAAACGTTTATAGATTCACTAACTTTGGATATGAGGATCCCCGGCCACGTCCGACCAAAAGACGTTAAAAGATGGTACTTGTTGTTACCCTGTCTGGCGCTCGGCATTAAGGGGCTAAAACAAGGACTGTTCGGCTCGGAGTCCGTATACCGTGTCTGAATGGGGTATTCATGTTAAACTGCGGTATGGTATCTCAGTGGGCTAGCACTATAAATCGGCATCAGTCCGGACTAGTACAAGCAGCCACACACACAAACACACACATGTGCATGCACGTCGCTATATAAATGCAATAATCTTGGTCGCGACGTTAAACTGAATTTCACCTCACCTCACCTCCATATCAGGTGACTGTATGAGAAGACAACAAAACGGAATAAGTCTTGTAATTTAAATCAAAAGTCCTTGATATGAGTCAGTGTCGTCAGCTTAACGAACCAAAGACTTGTTGCGTCCAAGCAACACGGATGCTTGTATGAATTGTAATACATATCTTTCAGTCAGCATTTTGTATTTGAACACTAGCTGTATTCAGCTGTAGCGTTATTACACTCGAATCGTGATGTGATAATGCTTTGACGGATTGATGGAGCGTATCAAAACGTGGCTTTTGACATTAGGACGATTGAGCTATGAAACACGACGATTTCCGGAAACGAAATTGAAATTATGTTCTGTAATAAACACATGTTGTAAAGTATCCACAAAAGTGAAACTACCATTACGATCATATGTTTGCATAATGACAATGACCTGAAAATAGAAATCCTTTTGTTGAGTATGTACGATACGAGACGGAACAATGTAAACGTCCAGAGCTGTTCACAATGTAACCACCAGAAAGCCGTGAAAGAATCGACATTTTAGCTGTCGACTTCTGCTATCCAGCAACGTGAACGACTCGTGATAAATGGAAACCACAATTAATTAAGCAGTGAAAAATACATGACAATAAAATAGTATGTACTGTGCTTAAACCATTACCTTGTGTACAATCTGTTCCCAGATACCCCGCGGCACATCCTCCAACACACTGCCCTTGTATCTTGTCAGGACAGCTAGAGTTCATCTTGCAATGGCGGTTAGCGCAGAGTTGGCCACAGTCAGCTCCATAATACTCAGGGCCGCATGCTAGTATATAGGACTGTCATATTCAAATGTATGCGGTGTCAGGACCAGTTATGGGATGCAAAATATGAGACAAGGTATCTGCTATCTACATGTACGTGTAATAATAATTGTTTATTTAATGTAAAACACAGTACCTACTTTCAATTCATGTACAGAGGGCTACTTCATTGGGTTTTTTTGTACACTGAAGTTAACGACATTTGTTGACAGCAGGGCTCAACCACGGCAGACACGTGACAGAACTGGGCAATTAATACACATTTTCAAAAATAGTCCGTATGAGTCGAGACAAATATTATGTATGATGTGTTATGACATGTTGCGATAGAGGCGACTAACAGGATCGGGTGGTCAGGCGTGCTAATGATGCATATCATCACATCCCTATTGCGTACATCGGTGCTCTTGATGTCAATCACTGGATTGTCTGGTATGATTTACTGAGCACCGTCATATAGATGGAATATTGCTATATAAATTCTTTAATCCGCATATCTGAGTAAGAAAGTGACATAAAGCAGACAATATATTGACGATAAGTTTAGTTTGTTATATATGCATTCACACACATACACCGTAAATGATGACAGGGAGCGACAAAAATTGAATCAACTGTAAACACAGATCATTTATAAAATCAATTAAATCTAATTTGAATAAACATTACCTTGAGTACAGTCTGTTCCCTGATATCCAGCCGCACATCCACCAACAAACAGTCCTCCAATGACGTCACAGTTGGAGTCCGACTTGCAGTGACCACAGGATCGGTCACAGTTTGATCCATAATACCCAGAAGCGCATGCTAGTAAATAGGAACGTCATATTGTTACCTACAAAGTTACCTGGATTCCTTCCTGCAGTGACGGATATTGCATCATTGGTTATAGTTTTCTTGATAATATCCAGAGTGGCGTGTTAGACTATCTATCAGTCATCTCTTAATGTCACGTTTAAGTAAAGTGTACGTGTAATAATGATTGTTTATTTAATGTGATAAACAGGGCCAACTGTAATCATTATGGACATAGTGGCCGACATTTGATTCAAAAGTGTTTTATTTACTCATCCCTGAGGTTTGTAACACATTATACAACATGGCGGTAGGTCAACATGTGAAAAAGATCACATGTGTAAAGTGTAAAGTGTGGCACATGCTCCATTAACAAACTATTGAGTTACCACAACTAGGCTTGGATCAATACTACGCGGGTTCACATCGGTTCCTCATGACAAGACAATAAATATACAGTAAACACAGTAGTCCGACTCGATACAACTATCTTGGGTTCTTTGGGGCATAAGGTAATTGAACCCAGTTCTCCAAAGTGACGTGTGTGATGTGGTTTAAATCCTTCCAAACTAGTTCACACATATGGACAACAAAAAAATATACTAATTGACGAATTGAATGAGTGAGTGAGTATGGTTTTACGCCGGTTTTAGCAACATTCCAGCAATATCACGGTAGGGGACACCAGAAATGGGCTTCACACAATGTACTTATGTCGGAAATCGAACCCGGGTCTTCGGTGTGATGAGGGAACGCTTTAACCACTAGGCTACCCGACTGCCCCTCATTGACAAAGAAAAAAACTGAAAAGTAAGCTACGTAATATCAGTTGGTAAAATATATAAAGTTGTATTTTATTGTAAAATGACACAATATTACTACTTGGTATTTTTAAAAAAGAAGCTTCTTTAATATATATACTAATTCACGCCCAACAGGTTACTTACTCCACACCTGTACTTCAACAAAGTCTAACATAGGACCAAATCCATCATTATCAGTCTCTGTGTATCCAGTCAGGTAGCGCCAGGTCCCGGGACAGGTGACATTCAGCACATCAGGGATGTCTGTACCGTTAGCACGTCCTGTTACACTGTGACATAGATTTCCTTCTTGGGGATCAGAGGAATTTGTCATTGATGTGTAGAGCTGCACGCCATTACGTCTTTTCTTGTCTGAAACAAGTATAAATATATGCTTTTCTTCCTGTAGGACATACTCCTTAATGAAACTGTTCTGTCTTCTCCAAACGTGATTTAGGTTCTAGCAGTCATCAGTTTACCGATCCAACACTGAGGCATAGTCTTGTAAAATATTGGACACAATTGAGGTCCAAAATTTAAAAGTTTATTACTTCTGCGCACTTCTGTGTGCATGGATGTATTTGATAAAAGGCTACAACAAAACAAAACGAAGGAATTACTCCTTATGCAATAAGGAAAACACACTTAGAAAAAACATATGTGGGCACTTATACTACCGTGTGGTCGACTATAACTTTATATAAATTTGAATCATCCTAGCATAGCATTTATACTGAAAGAAGCGTCAGAGCAATCATTAAGCTTCGGCAAACATCTATGAAAACACTACGTATGGATTTTAAGTGCGCATCATAGAATTTACACGTGGTTTCTGGGCCTACCTTTAGAATACAGTACCACAAACTTATCAATCACAATACCCTATGACGTAATTTGTAGTATTTTGTTGCCAGTCACACCGGCGAAACAATGCTATGTGACGTCAGGGGTCATCGAGTGTGCATAAGCTCCTCCCAGTGATCTATCATCTCTAGACAACAGTGTCATTAAATACGCCCAGCGGTGTTTAGAGTTTGGAATATTTGTTTACTAAATACAGCCTGTGGGGGAGCATTTTAAAGCAAGCGCTAGTTTACGAAAGCACTTGTATTTTTTTTATATATTTTTTATTTCATTTTTTCTCGTAATTCAAGTGGATAAAATGGTTATAAATGGGAACTAATATACATATATTTTTCGGTTCATTGGTTTTTCAATTTTTGGCACAAGAATGCAGTTTATTAGGGATATTATATTGGCGCTGGACACTATCCCCGAACTCTGTCCTTAGCCCTTGGATTCCCTTTACGATCAGGTACCCGTTTAGTGGCTATTATAGATTGTATTGCGGCTCCTAATATTCTTCACACAAACACGTCGAGTAAAAAGGATGAAACGGTTTTGTGTCAAATATTTTGGCTACTGGAAACTGACGTCCTGTAACACTCACACAAGCCACCTTCACTGGTGGCTACATTTTTTTCAGTACTGATTCAAAAGCAAGCTCATCGTTGTGTCGTCACTAGCCATACCTATTCCTCCCTCGTTCCCCTACATCATCGTTACAGTGTTCCCTAACACACTTTTCTGTCACCAAAATCACCGGGCGAATTATTAAATACCATATCATTCATGCGTACTCGCGAGTTTGACGCCTGACGTCTGACGCCTGGAGCCGTTTTCAGTTTGCACCATATCAGCTCATTCCTAACCACTCGGTATCTTGTAGATTACGGAATGGGACGAGTGTGCCAAATGGCCTCAGGATCGGTCGAAAGTGTCCATAGGCTAAAGTCACGAGACACCATGCCTACCCGTAACCTTCGTAAGTGTCCGTCACCTATTCGACCCCTTTCGTTCAGTTCCGTAACATCATAGGCATGACTAGGTAAATTTGCAGTGTGGACGTAGGTCAGTCGGTAATATGTCGGGCTAACAATCGCGTCGAGTTCGCGTCCGACGGATTCTCACTAAAACTGGTTGCTTGTCTTTGAGACATGTCACCTACGGCAGAGATCGTCTTCACGAGAAGTTGTGGTAAGGTACTGTATTCTAAAGGTGCTCCGCTTTCTGTTGCTACATTATGCTAGAATTTTCACACACGGAATAAACACAAATTATAACATAAGTTGCATCCAAAACATATCTAAAATGTTCCTAACGATATAATTAATAAACTTACACTATGGATGGCTGAAGTTCGCCTTGATATAGCATGCAATGCTAAAAGCCAATGTGGGAAACCCACACCCACGGGACCAATGTCGCTGTTGCGACAGACGAACGTTCTAAAACTACCACTTACGGTCCAAAGCGAAGCGTATGATTGAGTACCACTAAATAAAATATCACTGTTACGTGTAACGGCACAGAAACATAACCGGACACGCTATGCTGTGTGTTCATATTCAGTTTGGATAAGCAGGTCAGAATTATATTTAGAAACCACTGCGTCCAGCTATAGCACTGAAGGTCATGTCACATTATATTTTGCCGATATTTCAGTGCCATGAGTATTTCCAACAATTGTATGTCACACTCTTGGATGATCAACGACGGTACTATGTTGAGCTGTGTGCCGTTGTGTTGTGTGTTTTGTGCTGCAAGAACATTTGAATTTGTTTCATAAACATTTACGGATAAGTGTTAAGCTAAATATCCAGCATTTGTAAGTGAACGTGTCAAAAAATCACGAAAGAAAGCTACGATGGGAATACAGGTACAATACGTACTATAATGTAAACATACCAATGAGCAAATGACAAACTATGTATTTTCTTGGAGAATGTTTAAAAGATTACAAGTCAAACCTGAATTGATTTTAATGCCAATATGAAGTCTCTCTTCCAATTAGCAAATAATTAGCGGACATAGCCGAGGGTCTGCTTGATGAACAACTCCATATCATGGTTTTATCAACACATCACATCGACAGATTGGATATGAGAATATAATTTCACCATGTGGTATGGTTAAAAATGCATTTCAGATTATAATATAGGGTGGCGACGATTTATCAAATGGATATATAAATTTGTTATTTACCTTGATGAATTTCTAAATTATCTCGACGTGAATTGCCTTGATGTCCCAACTGTAGACCTCTCGCCACAATCACGTGACCCAAAATTAATTATTTCATTGCCACGACTTATTCTATTTGGTAGACCATGAATCGATTAGACGGATGACGGTTCCTTCGAGCATATTGAAAAATGTAAACGCCATAGAACAATCAGTCACGTCTATCTGCAGAAGCGGATTCCATAGGGCGTAAAACGGAAAATATTGAAAAATTGAAATTGAAAAAATCAAAATCTGTGATGACACCAGGTGTTTACGAAAAGTGCAAGCACGTCTTCTTGATTTACCGATAGAAATCGCCACTCACAGAATATCCCTGAAACAATATGTGACAGTGAGTCAGGTGGGGCGAAACTCAATATGAAGGTTCAATAGGGGATAGCATAGCGCATCGTGTTTACAAGCGACGTGTCATTTTGGTCAATGTGTACTGAATGTCTGCCGCGAAATATCTGGAATGACTTTAACAGGCTTCCGACGGTGAAACCTTCATTGAAAAGATCAGCAATCAACGTGATGTCTTTTTCCATGAAATATGAAAGACATGTACATGCTCAAAAGAATTGAAGCAGTTTGATGAGAAACGTAGGCTTAAGCTAGAGCTGATGTTATATTACTAGACATTAAAATATGTTAAAAGCTTAATTTGGAATTGTGGTTGGATTTGGATTCCGTTGGGGTCAGGTTTCCAATGTAATGATAATTACATGTCATGGCGTTCCAGAAACCATTTGTGAATGTGTTTACTAAATGTGTTTAAAATAAAATACGTAAATGAGTCTATACATACAGAATGTATTAAAGTACAGGGTAACCAGTGCTGACTGTACTTGTGTTTGTAGATCCACCTTCCACCAGGCGCTTAGTTCATACGGTTTGGTGACGGCTGAGTACATGTAATGGTTTGCAAGAGTTACTCCATCGACAGCTGTACTGGCGGGTTGAGGCAGCTTCCAGGCTGAACTCATCCATGCGGGTTTGTTCTCAGCAACGTTTGTTCCAGTACCTGATCAATAATAATTAAATGGTAAATAAGCATATGAAAGATGATAACTGCAGGTGATTCTAGCAACGATAACATCATGAACAGCTGGTGTTCGTTAGTATGTATGTATTTTAAAGATG